TRAGCTTTAAAAAGTAAGAAGATCAAGCGGGTAAAATGCCTAGACAACAACAACAAAAAAAAAGGAAAACAATTACACATGAAAATATTAATAAGATTAAAAACACGTCTGAACAATTTGTAATATAAATGCTAATTTTAGATATAAAGTTCAAGTCAATAAAATATGATGTAGAATGTATAAAAAAGAACCAAGATGTTCAAAGAACTTAATAGTTTAAGCTGGGAGTTAATTAAACTTACTTGTTTTGATAAATTTAATAAACATCGGCCTAATTTTAAAAATGTTTTAAATTTTTTACGTACAATTGTAAAGCATAATGTATCGCTCAAAAAAGCTGAATCTCTGAAAACAAAAATAATATATTTYCTCTACTGGTATTGAGCTATAACGTTCAATTTTCACTCGAAACCCTCGAGCTATAGCCGCTCTGCATCCGTTCGTGAAAAGTAATACTTGGCTGTGCTTTTGCTAAAAAGTAAGCTCATTAGATGAACTCAAAATTAATAACTTCTAGTTTATTCAAAACAATGATCACAATTAATCACCACAAAGATAAACGTAATAAATAATTTAAGACAAGGTCTCAGATACAATATGGAAAGCTATAAATAAAAGAAAGAAAGAAATATTAAGCTTAAGACTTAAATCGAAGCAGAGTCAGCAGAAGTGCTCTAATCTAATATGTCACGGTTCGCGACCGAAAAATGTTTGCGGCCTCTTCGCGTCCCTAACTTTTATATTACATTTTCAAACAGTTTAACGGAAAATTTAAAGAAATACACTTTAACGTACCTCTTCTACACTTAATGGCATGCTTATCCTGTATTCTTTGACTAACATAATTCAAGATAAACGCACCAAAACATCAAAACATCCTTCTGGTAATGTGGCGCTTGGTTACCTAGTCAACCGTGAAACAGCTCGAGGACTGGGTACTGCGCATCCAGAACTCGCATCCAGCAATTTTACAGGGGCTCCCTAAAAATAGATTTGTCCAACACTGCGCAAATCGGAAAATGTAATAAATAACCATGAAATAGAAACTAAATACTTAGTTACTAATAGGCACTATTTAGACACTATCACTGAACCAGAACAGTACAAAGAGATTACTTTGATTGTTAAAGTGGTCTCTTGAGTATTGCTTATTGGAAATAAACTGTTCTGGTTCAGTGCTAACGACTAATAGCTAGTACTTTTTAGTTCATATTTCATGGTTCATGTGACTCTGCTCTAGTTTAGAGGTAGGSATTTTTGTAGATAAACTTGAAGGAGAAACTTCAAGAACAGCTTGTTTTGCTGAGTTTGGTTTTTCTTGTGGAGTGTGAAACCAATGAAATCACCAAAGAAAAAAAATAATGAATACAATGTAATTCTATAATATCAATTTTTAATACAATTTCTTACAGACATATCATATATTAGTATGTCTTGATGACAGCAGGATGGCTTTTGCAAGGTCAGGAATCCCACCAAAAAGTATAGGTCTTGAGGGACAATRAGAAACTGTGCTTCTAAATTAATTCTTTGGCATATCACATGTTAACAGCCTTGACCTTGTTGTTTGAATTTGATTTTCTCCACTTGTATATATGCCTTGCAATGACATTAATTATTGTCTTGGAGTTCTTTATCAGAGCTGTATCTGCACTGCCCAACAGCTGAATGGTTTCAATTCCAGGGCTGAAGAATGCCTCTACTTGATGTTTCACTGATTGCCAATCCTATGCATTCATAAAAAAAATGAAAATGGAGTATGTTGTAAAATCAGAACAATGAATATATTAGAATCTCAGCAAGTGGAAATAGTCCGAGGTGGGGGGGAAGTCTAGGATAAAAGTACCAGGGATGCTTGTGGACCTCTTAGGGGTACGAATTCGTGAAGGGAATCTTTTAGGGTACCAATTTGGAGTTTCTGGAAATTTAAATCTCTTAGGGTGTCAGAAAAGAAAAGAAAGAGCGCATCAATATTGATTTTCCTGTGCGTTTTTATCATTGGAACTGATTTAATTTAACAATATTCGTTGTACAATCTCTTAGAGGTTAAAAATTAGTCAGAGTCCCCTCCCCCCCGGGAAAATAGGTCAGGTTCTTAATGTTTGTAAGAGTTCCAATTTAAGCTACAATTATTGCAAKTACAATATCCTTGATCATACTACTTATCAATACACAAACTCTTTACTATGCTGACCTGCTAGACCCAAGACGTCTAGGACTTGTACAGTAAGATACTTTTTAATCAATTATACCTTGTTTAAGGGGTCATTAGACTTTTCACTGTATGTTTTGCTGGTAAGAACAGTTATTCCAATATTTCCAGGGTTGAATCTCTTAAACTTTGATAAAGTCCTCATCTGTGAAAGACTTTCATTGGCAAAATAATACTCGTCCACTGCGGAGCTCAAATGTCCAGGTTTACACATTAGATATTTTTGTCTGGCAGCAACAATTTCAGATACAAGTTTATCATCAACTGGTGGTTTCAAAAGGCCAAAAATAAACCCCAACCTTGAAAGACCAGTCGCTGCACAAAACTGCAGAACTTGTAAAGATGATATATGAGTATTGAGCCATGTATTAGTCCATAATTCGCCATGATTGCTAAACATTTGTTCAATCAAAGGGTTTATAAGTACGAGTCCTGCTACATCATCTTCAAATAATTGTGTATAAAACCTAGTATTGACAGCACCAATCTCTGCACCAACTAAAATAAATGGCTTAGGYTGACTGCTTGAGCCAGTAAACAATCTGTGGAAGTCATCTACCATTCTTTCTGTAGTTGAAAGCATTCCACGATTTCTAGTTTTTGCCTCTGTTCTATTGACAAATGGACGATCACTAAATCCAAGACCAGCCCTGTCATAMACACAGACATGAGTGATTTTGGAAAGTGCAGGACCAATGAGGGTCCAGGCATCTGAAGCCATGCCTGTCGGCGCATCGAGTATTACAGTAGGTTTTCCTGTTCCCATGCAACCCATAAATAACTTCTGTCCTTTGCCGATGTCGTATAACTCACCTGTATAAATACACCAAAAATATAACGTCAAATTACAACATTACAGGCACCAGTTTTCTAAAGCTATTTCAACAGGTTTGCTGCACATGAAGCAAATGGCAAAGAAAAACTTTCTACTTAAGGACATTCAACAACAAACTGAGGTGTGAATCTAATATTACCTACTGAGAATTGGCAACAACTTATGTATAAATATCTTGAAACAATTTTATCTTCTTAAATATACAGTAGACATAACTTTAGAAGAGAAGACATTGTACCTGGAGGTTTGAGGCCTCTTGCTTCACGATATAACGCAGCATGATTCAGAAATCCAGGTACAAATAACATTAAAATAATGTACTTCAAAGACCCCGAGCACCATCCTTTTGGGGTTTTCTCTTCTGTATCTGAGTGTGATTGTGTTGATCGTTCTTTGATTTGTGCTGGTTKTTCAAGCTAAATAGGACAAAAAATGACAAATTTGAAAAAATAAATGAGAGAAAGAATTGGTGAAATAGGTATGAGCAAGGATAAATGGATAACAGAAGGAAGGGAAGAATGAGGAGTCAAAGAAAAGATTCGTTTGAGGGAAGAAAAAAGGGAGAGAAAAAAAAGGGAGGGACAAACAAATGAAGGAAGAGAGGGAAGGAAAGAAAAGAGGAAGGAAGGATGGAAGGGGAGAAGGAAGGAAAGAAGGAAGTTTAAAGAAGGAAAAAAGAAACTAGAAGGAATSGTAGGATGTGAGTAAGGAGTTTGAAAATTAACATCATGTAAGCAGTCATGCATTTCATACGAAATCCGCTCATCTTCAAAACAGGTTCCACACGCTAAATAAACTACTAAATTAGAGCAGGTCTTTCTTCCKRATGAACTAACCTTCTTTGACACTGGTTCTGCTGCATTTTGCTTTAGTTTTCTCTTCGTTGCTACCATCTTTGTGTTCAGTTTCTTGCACCCACGTGGAAAAGAATTGTCACGTGACATCAGCTGACAGTATCAGCTGGTCAGCGGGCAATCGAAGTCGCAACTTTTTTCTTTTCGTTCGATCAAAATGACAATMTTCTCCAAAACAGTTAGTTTTAACGATCTGGTGCCTCTSTTGCCGTATTTAGAAATACCACAGTCTCTTAGAGCAGTATTTTCTTTTACAAATTTCGTCCATGCGTTATCTGGAGCAATCGTAAGTAAATTTATWAGCCTCGAATAGAAAAAATAACTAATCGCCTGCATGTGAGTCCGATGTTGTGCAACAATCTACAGTTGTTATAATTTGGATAGATAAAGGTTATGTCGGTATAGAATTTGGAATATTTGTCTATGATGAATTCGCAATTGAGTCAACATTGAATTTTCTAGCTCAATATAATTTTTTAATATTATATGAATTATGTACAAATTTTGTACAAATATTTGAATACAATAAAAATTCAAATAAGTTTATTTGTACAATAATTGAAAACATATTAAGTTRATATACAGACATGGATTGACGCCCACTTTGAAGAACAAAAAWGGTCCCCTTTCAAAGTCATGATATATGTGACAATTGCAAAGTGCCACATTATGAATTTCTCTGTATTTAACCATCTTTATRAAAAATATCTTTCTTGTTGTAATGTATGTTGGACTTTGTATTGATAGGGCAGTGTCACTGCTATGACAACATTTTATCCATTGGACACTGCWAGAACAAGATTGCAAGGTAGGATTATTATTAAACTCATCTCCACCAATATTTAGGGGGCGAGGCTTGGTATTGTTTAATGGGGTTTAGTATTAAATATTATAATTTGCTGAATATCCTATTTGTAATTTATCAATATTATACTCAAATTCAGCAAGACTGTCAAACACATATTTTAATATCTGCAAATCTGGTAGKTCTGTTGGTTTAGAAAGCTGCATAAACAGCTCTATCTTGTGTTCTWTAATTTTATYTATGARGCCCAAGCTTTATCATGTGTCAATCCCTCTGTTGCCATACTGAACCTTGAAGCTTCTTTGAGACTACATTCAGCTTCATTAGCCAACATAGAAGCTCTCTTGGGATCCCTGTGTACAAGAATAGATGGCCTTCTCTTCTCAAAGAAGGCTGCTAATGCAGGCTACAGCTTCATAGAGTCTTGCAGTCCAAGGAAATGTAATTAACTCTTCTCTGACTGGCTTAGGATTCAAAACAAATGTGACCTTTCAAAGAATAATATTACCTGAGTGAATGTATTTTTAGGCTATATTTTTGTTTTTGACTCTGGAGTGGCCTATGGGAATTTGGAAAGAAGTCCACTCCAGTGATCCATAGGCTGTAAAGGACTAAATCRATCTGCCCAAATTTTTCATTCTAGTTGATTAATTCTAGTGTTTGTGTTTTTAATTGAATTGCAGTTGATGATAACAGGAAATCAAAAGGAACTTTTAATGTTTTAAAAGAAATAATGCAAGATGAAGGAATGTAAGTTGTATCATTTTTCCTGTTCTTTTCCATTCAATGAGTTAGTGACCTCATTTTCRTCTCTATTGATTCAATTTCATCTACAATTCTTTCTTTAAATAATCCATTCTTCTTTACTACTACCATATTTCATTCATACCATACTTTTTGAATTCCTTCATCCTGATTGTATATATATATATATCATTATTTTATATCTTTTTTATTCCACCATTTATCCATGAACAACTAATTCATATATGATTTCTTTATGTTTTCCAGAAAGTCCTGGTATCGTGGATTAGGACCTGTATTATTCAGTCTCTATTGCTCCAATTTTCTTTACTTCTACACCTTCAACAGTCTTAAAGCAGTGTTTCTTAAAAACAGACACTCCTCCTCCAAAAGACAAGATTTACTTTTTGGTTACATTTCTGGTAAATTTTTCTTTAGCAACCAGGTCCGATAAGAGAATCATATCAAATGAGGCCTTGTCTGACGATGCTGTAGACAGCGAAAGCATGGAATCACAKGGCTTGATTTGATACAATTCTCATATGCATCATGCTTTAAAGGATAACTTCATATGTACTTGTTATGTCCAAAGTTATGATAATAGGGGCTTGTCACTATGATATCACACTATGTTTTAATGCAAATAATTATAAATATTATCTGTTGTTTTGAATTCAAGAGAATTGTGGGAGGGGTGGGGGAAGAGGCACAGGTAACCTGTTCACAATCCTCCTTTAAATATTCTACTGAACTTCGATCTCCAAACATTATTGGTAATTGTGGTATGTTGATCTAGAGTGCACGCCAAAAAAGCATGAAACAATTCTTAACTATCAACATCTAATAAGATTTAGTTATCAACTAACTAAGAATTCACTGGGGCATGAACACAATGCCAGAAAGGAAACTTGTCTTTGTTTATGCCTCACTAAATTCTTAGTTAGTTGATAACTAAATCTTATTAGGCGCTAATTACTTAAGAATTGTTTCATGCTTATGTGGCTTGCACTCTATCATTTAGGTTTGGTCAATGTTCTTCTTACAACCCCCCTATGGGTCGCAAACACAAGGTTGAAGCTACAAGGTGTTAAATTTAGGTCTCAGAATTTGGAAAGTGAAAACTGCAAGCATAAATATTCAGGAATAATAGGTAATGTTCAACATTCCTTATTGCTTCTTTCAAAATTTACTAGCTCTGAAATGAATAGTGGTCTGCATAGCTGGGTGGCTGCAAGCACCTAGGCAGTCATAATCTGGTACAAGTGACCTTGTTTTATTTCTGTTATGTTTAGATGTCATAACTCAAATTGTTCAAGAAGAGGGAGCTCTAAGTCTGTGGAATGGTATCGGTTCATCTGTGTTTCTTGCTGGCAACCCTGCCATTCAGTTTATGGTTTATGAGAGTATAAAAAGGTTTCTTCGAAGAACAGGAAAAATGGTAATAATACTTGTAAACTTTTTAAACTCTTTTCTGTTTTGTGCCTTTTCAAAAATCAAGGAAAAGTGTCTCTGATTGAGGTTCTTGAATGATGTGACAGCTTTTGGTGTAGCTAAATTGTTCAAAATTTTCTTTTTTTTTCTTTTCAGAAACTCAGTGCGACAGAGTTCTTTTTGATAGGAGCAATTGCCAAAGCAGTAGCAACAGTTTTAACGTACCCATTACAGATTGCACAGTGCAAGCAAAGGGTAATGATAGTTACTCTGGAAAAAATAGGAATTAAGGAACAGGGGGAAGGAAATGAAGAAATATCGGAGAGAGAAAGAATGAGAAAAATAAAATAACAAAGAAAATTATGAGAAAAAGGAAAGAAGGATGGGTAAAATGGGAAATAAGAAATGAGAGAAGGAACGATACGAAAAGTAGTACACTGTAAATAGAAAAAAGCAAGATAAAACAGGAGAAAGGAAATAGGGATGAAAAAAGTATAAAAGAAGAAATGAAATAAAGGACAAGAGAAAAGGTCCAATGATAACGATAAAGAGAAGCTTTGAGAAAGAGAAAAAGGAAGGAAGAATGGAAACAAAATTGAGAGAGGAAGGAAGCACAAGAAAAAAGAGAAGGAAGTACAATGTTAGGTACAAAATAGTTGTAATGTCACTAATGATAGTTTTGATGATATTTGCCAGGCTGGTTATCAAGAAACCAAGCAACACACTCACCTCCTGTCATTGCTGTCTAAATTAATGAGGTAAGGGGGATATGTGAAAGAACTGCTGTCTTTGTAGTGCAATAATTATCATTTTATTTGTCAATTTTTCAAAGACATTATCAAATTAAGGTAGACACAATGGAAAATCATTGTTATGACTGCATCTTTATATGAGCAAGAAATTTGTCCTGATTTGCATACRACTTTAATTAACATTGATTTTGTCTTAAAAATTATATTTTATCTTGAAGGTTTTTGCAAAATTATGCTTTAGATTTATGTTGGACTTTGATAAGCAATATAAAATATTTGTGTCCAACCTTCCCGCTTACTTAATTGGCATACTAAGAGATAAAATGCATTTTCTAACTTGTTGTAAACGTTCCGTTGTGTTTTCAGAGAGAGAGGCTTTCTAGGGTTGTACAAGGGAATGGAGGCAAAGCTTCTTCAAACTGTCATGACAGCAGCTCTTATGTTCTTAGCTTATGAAAAAATTTCAGCTTTTATATTTGCAATGAGCAGAAGAATGGTGAAACGATAGGTGAATTAATTTTGTGTTTTATTTTTAATCATTTTTCTTGTCAGATATGCTTGAAGCTTTTATGGTACATRGCATATATATAATGAATTTGACTTCCGACTATGTATGGGAATTATTTAAGATGAAATTTCACAATAATTATTTGAAATAAAATGTCTCTCTCTCTATAGATATATATATATTGGTGACTGGTTTCTGCCATTGACAAACTTCAGTAACTCAGACTTCAGATGTATTCAGTGACGTAAGACAAAAACATCTTGGTTTAAAGTTGTTTTATGTATTTATATTGCTTGTTGCTACTCTGTTTAGCATTTTATTTAAAACGTCCTTTTGTTGCTTCACTTCGGCCATCAATACCTGAACCCTGTACAAAGATTGTTGATATAACTCATTAGAGAACTGCAAGAATTGAACGGAAGAGAGATCGATCAAGTTCTGCCTCCCCACACCCTCCCCTTCCRTTTTCTCCCTCCTTCCTCCCCTAGAGCCGCCACGCAGGCTACTCTGGTTCTTTGAATATCATTGAAAACTTTCTGTGTAAAATACTACCAAAAATATTGAAATCAAGAGAATTGAAAAAGTCACACCTTTCTTCTTGTTTCTGCATTTTGATGCCAAGGGATTCAGTCATTCGTGCCCAGTCTTCTAAAGAGGATGTTGCCTCAAAATGCTTGTCAGTCATGGCAAACAATTGGTCATTTACCCTGCACTGAAAACATACAACAAAGACAAGAAAGGTTTTTGTAAGAGTGAGATTGACGGTTCCGTTACTGTTGCTCCTACCCGCAAAATGTGTAAAATTTAAAATTTCTTTGCATGCGGACTTACTGACTATCAACAATATGGTCCAATATGAATCGTCAATGTAATTTTCATTGTTAGATTAATAATAAATAAAYGAATAGTTAAAATCTTTTTTCTATTTTTTAATAAACTCACAGCGTGCAATGCAATACTGTGCAATACTGTGCTCAATGTCCGCGTTCCGGTCAAACAAGACTTGCGGTTCCAAGAATTGTATAAAAGTCATTCCCACTTACCCGAAGACGATCCCAGAACGATTCTGCCTTTCTGTTTGGTTTGTAGACATAGCTCCTTTGATAAAAACGACGCAGCAGTACACTTGGCAGTTTTTCTTCAAACTCATAWATACTCTGGACCTACAATTGAGAATAACACTTTTATTTAATTCAGTAGTTTTTGTATGACTGTGCAAGAAAACATATCATGGCAAGGACAAACAACACCACGGTAACGGAACCTCACTTCCCATGCAATACATAAAGCTATCTGACCTGAACGGCAAGTCTTTTCAGCTCAGCGTTCTTCTGGATGGAATCAATATCGCCAACGGCCAGACCAATCTATAAAGAACACTATGATATCAACAAGAAATACCTCCGCATGTAGTTTTACATTTCTACATAAAAATTCACTTCCTGGTTATCCATGTACCCCCATTCTGAAGCATGAGTATTATCTTAGTCTACTCCATTAAAACGCATTCTTCAAAAGC